TTACTCCGCTGCTATAACTGCAAATGCATCAGAATCCATAATTTTCCTCAAAATATTTAAAATCAAGCAATTTTACTATAAACAAGCACATGATGACTGTTTTTTTAATTCCTTTCCACTTTGTTTTCCTTCATACAGCTGAGTTCGAAAAACAACTGATACCTGGCAGTGCTGCACATTTTTCCGCAAGGGTTGCAGCATGACGATTTTCGTTTTTCGTAAGGTAGCTACGAATTACGAAAATTCGGGTTCCAGAATAAGGGTGTATATCTTTTAATTTATACATGTGAACTATTTTCAATGATTATTTTTTCACTTGTTCCTGAATTTTGGGTACATTTTCTTATAGTACCTCTCATTCTTTTTTATATTACATATATACACGCCGATGTTCGGGATAGTATTTTGAATATACCAGCAATATACGTAAAAGCAGTGGCGGCTGCGGTAGAGCATTACGAAGCGCTTGAGGTCGAGCCCAGTTTCCCACCAACATCAAAATATAAAAAAAACAAAAAAGTTTTTTTTTCTAATAGCGGTTGCCCCTCTGTTAGTAATAGTAAACCTCCGAGTGTATTCTGTCATGGAAACAGTTTCTCACAAAAATACAATTGCCGTTCGCAGTCGGCGTAAAACTGTCCTTTAAGCAGTGTTTGCATTGTTCAAACTTTGCGTTCAACATTTGCGTTCAACTCAACGCAGGGTTGCACGAAAAAAAAGTTGATTGTTTTTTTTTTTGCTGGCAACCAACTTTATTGAAAGCGATTAGTTGAATCGCCGTTCATCTAAAAGTTGAATTCAAAGTTGAACAATACAAACACCTTTTTATCGCGAATGTTTTGATATTTTTAGCCATTCAACTTTTTTTTCGTTCAACTCTGCGGTGAGTTGAACGCAAAGTTGAACAATGCAAACACACTATTACTTTGAGTGACAAAATCACGCACGCCACATATCGGAGGAGAAGCTGGCCAAACACTAACAGATGTGTAAGCGCCAATATGTATATCGTCGCTTAAAGTACAAAAGCGCTTATCGTGGCTCAGCAAAACCTCGAAACTGAAATTTGTGCCGGAAGCACCTGACATCAAACCCTCAGCCACTTATAATAAAATATCGACACTTAGACATAAGGAGGAGCGATAATTAAGTTTAAAAGAGAGAACCGTTTTTAATTAGAACAAGTTTTACTCTCCTATAAAATTTAGGCAACCTCACATACGAGGTTTTGCATTTTCTTGATGCGCGGTGTACTTCAAACGACGATATGTAGAAGTATTACATACATCTTTTGGTGCCTTTTCAAGTATAAAATCCACTGAGGTACGGAAGAACACGGCATCCCTATGATTTCAACTTATGCCAAACGTTTCGTAAACAAGAAATTCTGAACAAAAAAAACTGTTTTTCCACAAAGATGTTTAAATGGAAGCATTACAAATATGGGAAAATAGCAATCCACAAGGCTTTATTGGCAGTAGGTCCTGCTTAAAGCACATGTAACAAAAAACGAAGCTTCTAGTTTCGAAGCTAGCACAAAATAAAATTTGTTTGTTTGTTGTTTACAAATAAATACTTGCCAAGTATATAAGTCAAAATTGTTAAATAAACATATATCGCTTTCATTCATTTCTTCATAGAGTTGGTGCTCCTTTTATAAGAAAATTCATACGGCTTATGAACAGATTCATACCATGTAAATGCACCATTACTTTCCAGAATTTTAGTTCTACACCATTTGGTTTACAGAATTTTGAAAATTGTAAATGCAAAGAATTTTAAAAATTTTTCCAGAATTTTCGACCGAATGATTTTTCAAAAGCAGAATTTATTACCGCTCCCATATAATTGCTTGTAGAATGGATATAATACATCTATATCTTCTATACTAATATATATATATATTGTATATTATATATTATATATAGTATAATAATTATATATATATATTATATATTATAATAATTATAATCTATACTAATTATATAAAGAGAAGTCCCTTTTTTTTGTAACAGGTAATCTCTCGAACGGCTGGTCCGATTTTCATGAAATTTTGTATACAAATAGCTTTCGGTAACCNCCATGTTTTAGGCTAAACAAATTTTACTTTTTTTCGGGTAGGTGGACCAGGGACCGGTCTATTCGAAAAAATCTTATTATGGTCCGATGTGCTTAAACTTTAGTACGTAAGTAGCTTTTTAGCATATATTAGCATATATGACCCATTTTTTCCGGGAAGTGGTCCAGGGACCGATCTATTCGAAAAAATCGAATTTATGTTCCGATTTGCTTAAAATTCGGCACGTAAGTAGATTTTTAGCATATATTAGGATATATGGTCCATTTTTTCCGAGAAGTGGACCAGGGACTGATCTATTGGAAGAAATCGTATTTATGGTCCGATTTGCTTAAAATCCGGTACGTAGGTAGCTTTTTGCCTGGATAAGCTTATAGATNAAAATTCGGTACGTAGGTAGCTTTTTGCCTGGATAAGCTTATAGATTCCTGTTTTCCAATTTTCATGCAATTTCGAATATAAATAGCTTTAAGTAAGGACCATAAATCGGCGGGGGGGGGGGCGAATTCGTCACTAGGCAAGATTTTTTTGCGCCAATCAGAAACAACGGATACTGTCAAAATATAATTATAATATATAATATATCTCAACTA